AAACTATTACAAATATATGGGGAAAAATAAAGTTGTGGTTGAGTAACTAGTTCAATTTCTTTCTTTTTCGTGTATTATCATTATTTGCACTACATGATGGGTGAGATCTGTTTTGACTGCCAGGGCAATTTTGTGGATCAGTGCAGCCTTCATTTTGACAAGTCCGGGAATATTTTTGCTGTTTCTTTGGTGGTAGGCTTTTGAGGAAATCAGCACGGCTTATGCTTGATGGTGATGATGATGGAGCTCTAGGTTGCATTTGCCGTATATAATGCTGTTGGTGTTGCGGCTGGATTGCTTGTTGCTGAGGTGTAGGACTATAGTGCATATGCTGCTGCACTTGGAATGATGGATATAATTGCGGCGGAGGCAGTTGCGGTTGTAGTGTAAATGTAGTAGGCGGTGGCGGTAATGCTGACATGGGTGGACGTGCAAAGGAATACAAATCAGATTGGCTGTAAACTTGTTGTTGCTGTTGCATTGGCCGTGGAGCAAGCGGTTGGTAGACAGAAGATCTAGATTGCAGTCGTCTGGATGTACTACGTTGTATTGAGGATGGCAGTGTCGGTGCTGGCGGATTCGATCGAGGCTCCAAGACTTCAGCAGTACGATCAGAGTTATCACGTATTTGGGATCGTGGGCGAGCTGTACCTTCCAAGCTATTCCTTATCACCGCGTTCTGACTCCATTTGTTGAAATGTGTGCGCAGATACTGTGGGTACTTATAAAAAATATTGCGCCCGTCAGTATGTGTCGAGTTCCATGACTTGGCAAAAACGGTCCACCTCGTTGAGTTCGGTTGCTGACTGTTGTAGAATTGAGATATCTGTCGGTTGAACAAAGCTACCTCTTCTTTTGTATGTACAGGTAGTATTGGATACCGGGTGCCTTGACGAGATGCTAAATATGCTGCTCTCACAGCTGCATTATCTCGTTTGTTGGCCTGTTCAATTGATGGTCTGTAACGCTGCATGCCATATGTATCCAAGCTTTCGTCGCTCGTCTTGCAAATGTCAAACTTTTCTTCAGTCGAGGCCAACAGATCCGTGTTCTGCCAATCAAGCCAATGTTTTGGTAGCTGCAATTCGCGTCGCAAGTATGCAAGCTGGATTTTGTTATTCATCCATATATCGTAATGTCCCTTGTATTGTTTGCCTGTGCGATTCAGCGTACCAACCTGCCACATAAGAAAATGTTCGAGTTGTTCAGTAAATTGGTCACTTTTTTCAGGCTATGAGATACACTTACATGTAAATTATGTTGTGTTCGATATTCGACAAGCAAATTAACCGCAAATCTCGGACTCGCATTGAAAGCTCCAAAATGCCTCTTTAAATTCTGGTGCACACCGCCCTCAAGAGAGTTTGTTCCCCTTAGACATTGATATACTGCCAAACCATTTTCATCCCGTCGTCGAAACAAGTACAATGATGTCCCAGGTGGATCGCTCAAATATCCTTTGCCAATAAGCTGTAGCAAATTTCGTGCGTCTTTCCAGGCCTGTTTGTCAAATAAAGGTCGACCACTTGAGGCGCATTTCAGAGGTCCAAACGTCATGAATAAATCGTACACATCTTGTACAATTTTTGATGGTGGTGGGACAACGCGGCGTATTCGCTCGTTAATCCAAGATTTGCGACGCCAACGAACTAAAATAACATGGTTTTGATATTTCAAATTAAGCTTGTTGTCGCCCACAATGAAAGAGAATCATATAGATATATACCCAATTCAAATCTCTCTCCTTTTTCATGCAGAACCCGGGTGACAGCTGCAACATCTCCAGAATCCATCCACAAAATTGCGTCGGTTAATTTACGTTGGAATTCTATGCGTAACCCATGTTTCTTTGGTATTGAGATTCTCTTGAGCGCATGCCAAGCATCTTGGACGATTCTGGTGTGGATGGCGTTATCTTGTTCCAAGCGTTGTGGTCGATACTTTTGTAAAATAGGATCGAGGAGGTGACTGCCATAAATCTTGGAGCTCTCGTCGATAGCTAAAGTGTTTGGCGTTGGTACCGGCATATCATCGTCACTGTCGTCTTCCGAGTCGGTTTCATTAATATCCCATGCTTGCACGTCATTGTCGCTGCTATGATCAGTTTGACCACCTTGCGATTCCGGATGATCCACGCTCTGCGATATGTTTAGTGTTTCCTCGTTGTGCACGGTGGCGACAGGCTTAATAAGTTGATAACAAGGACGGAGTGACAACAAACGCACTAATATACAAAACGGAGCAGCACCAAATGACGAAAGTGGCTGGCTATCACATAATTGCAACTTTGCCGCAGGGACCAAGACAGTAGTAACTTCAACCAGTGCACGATTTTCCGTTATCGTCCGCTTATTAAAGATTCTGGAAAAAAGTCAGGGTTAGCTTAATATTAGTAATATGATTTGACTTATTGTGTTATTCCTACTATGAATTGGTGCAAGCAAGGAGTAAGTAAGGGAGAGAATATGTACATACCCACTTTGTCTAGCATCGCTGATTTTCCCGCGCGCCACCTCCACAGTACCATCGTCGCTTAGTACTGTTACATGTACACCAGCTCGTCGATTTATGATGTCGTTTCTAGGCGATGTCACTTGGAGATAAATTTGCCGACTACTCCAGGCATCCAAAGCTGCATAGTGTACTTGCTCGTCAGTAAGTCGACCTTCCCAATTGCCTTGTTGTAAATCCTTGGATAGACGATGTTGTAGAATTGTTGCGCACATATCTGCCAGACTTGTTCCAGTAATTGGTTTGCATTTGTACTCGTTGCATATTGTCAACAGGTCCACGACATTGGATGCTTGAAGGTTATTGAATTGTTGAGGAAAAGATTGTGAAAGCCGAGTGATATCATTTGCGATGTTACGCCCAACCTTGATGATATCTTTGCGATTAAGCAGCGTCCAGATAGCATGTGGCAATGATGATAACTTCTCCAGCTTTAATATTGATACTCGGTCGTCATATGCAACTTGTATTATTGATACTGGATGCCACGTTGGATCATTTTCATGAAATGTCCACTCTGCGTCAAGACCAACGACGATCGGTTGCTGTTCAGTGCCATTTTGTTCGAGTAGTGGTGTCAAAGCAGCTTCGATTTGCAAAGGTGAGCTGTGAATTGTTACTGAAATTGTTGGTGGTAGCTGTAGCTGCGGCAGATGATAATATGGATCAGCGACTATACGTGGATGAACTTCAGTACGAAGAGATTCGATTTGTGTTTCAAAAAACTGTTTATCGGCCTCGACTTTGTCAGTAAAAAGGATTTCTGGGTGACGATGACCATGGGCAGTAAGACTTTGTAGCATGGCTAATCGCAAAAATTAGTTTCGGTTACTGTAATGCAATCAGAGGAAATTGTAAGAAAGAAAGTATAGTATACCTTGTATTCCTTGTTCTATGTGATCCATGGATGTAGTAGGCACAAAAGCTTGATACCGAATCTCTCCGTATTCGTTTGTCATTGATACCAACCCTTCAAAAATTTTGCACGAATCCAGTTTGCAAAGATGCTTTGTCACCTATTATCAAAAACAAACAAAGCACTTGTCAGAATATATACACAAAAGCAAATAAATTAAACTCACCTTATGGCTGTGGTCAATGTTGATTATGGTGGCTGGTAGAGAACTCATGTGGTTGTAGTGGTCGTTTATATGCATTTCAACAAATTCATTGTACATTTTTGTGAGATACTTAGGACCAGGTGTCGAACCACCATATCCATCTCGATCATCGAATGATGGGAAATTCTTGAACTGCCTTGATGCCGAGTGCACTGGTTTATAAAACGAATTGATTGCTGACTGTCTAGTGGGTGATGGATTTTGCTGTTCGTTAGAATGTTCTTGCTGCTGTGGTCTTCCTTCCGCATACTGCCATTCAATTTTGTCGTGTCGCAGGTGGTGTCTAGTGCTCAATGCTTTTGCAAATGGACCGGGCCCCATTCCGTTACCAAAGCACAGCCGCATATTTGTCATCAACTCCTTGGATACACCACTTTTATGTGAAAGTGTGGCCGGGTATTCGAGCGCAAGTTGTATGGGTAGCGATTTTTCTATCAAGTTCTCGTCTGTGCCCATAATTGTGTTGACGTCGCATCCGTCGTTTTTGCATTGATATCGATAGGATAGGATGTAAAAAAAGTCGTCGTCGTCTGCGATGCGTCTGGCAAGTGGGTTTGATGGAAATCCAAGCTCTGTGAGTTTTTGCTTGCACTTGGGACACTTGAGCTCTTCTACCAAAAGGTGGACAAGCCAAACGAACACACGTGGCAAATATAAGTCGGTTGGTTCAAAGTATTTCTTCTTGTACATAGCGAAAAAGGGCGCTGGTGGCAAAACCCAAAAGGTCTTGTTTTCGTAGCAAGCTGGCATTCCTTTGCTTCTTCTTTCTCTGTCAATTTTGTTGCGGACACTTGTCAGGTACGGCTCAAATACTTTAGGCGTTGCCAAGGTTTCCTCATCGCGTCCCACCATCGGTGTCATTAAATCGTTAAACTGATGAAAAATAAATGAGCAAAATTGAGAGAATGTCCCTCAATAAGTGAGAGTCGAGCAGTGGAAACATACTTCACTGTGTGTAGATATGTCAAACGTAAAAAAGTACTTTTTGACAGTGTCGTGTCAAAGTGGTTGTAGCAGCAGTAACCCGAGTATTCACCCTGCACTAGGGTTCCCAGCAGCTATATATATACTGCGGAACGCACTCAAGCTTTTGTGTAACGCTGGCTGTTATTCTTTATTCCTGATTGGACAGACTTTATTCCACCTTTGTTATTGGCGTAAATAACAATGCCGCACTTTATTTTTTACAAGCAATTGGTCAGTTTTTCTATACCGCACTTTATTCTGTAAATTTAACTGGCTAGGTCTCTACGGGTACCGCCCGACTGCCAAAAGAGTGAAAAAGGCGGGCTTTGAAATGATGTTCCGCTGAGGCATATCGCACGATGTCGCGTGTGCCTTACTTCTTTTCCCCCTTAACCTGCTGCCATGTCCATGAACGCTACTCCCAATGACATCCGTGTCTTTAAGACACCGGTCCGTCGATTGAACCGACACCGACAACAGGCTTTAGCAATACCGCTACCACAACCACCTCCACCACCACCTATGCCCCCGGCTTTGTTGCCTGCAACATCATCTGCAGCACCAACATTCACGCCACCAATAACACGAATGCAGCAGCAACTTCAACAGTTGAAAAACAAAGGTAAAGAAACGAATGAAGGGCTTCAACAGCTTAATTATAAGAAGGGGTGGAAGAAGGCGCAAGAGCAGCCAAAAGAGCAACAACAACAACAACAACAACACTCTCCTCCTCCTCCTCCTCCTACTGGTACTACTACTACTTCCCCTCCTCCTCTTACTGCTGCTGCTGCTACTGCTATTACTTCTCCTCGTCTTCCTCCTCCTCCTCCACCTTTTCTTCAGCAGCAACAACAACAGCTTCTCTCTCCTCCATACATTCCAGCATTTTTGCAGGATTTGGAGGATGTTGAGATGGATGTTGTTGAGGAACCAGTAGACATGGAATGGGAGACGGGCGATGAAAGAGACATGTTGTGGGATCCCACTCCCCGTCTTGTCGCGGTCTACTGGCCATATTACGGTCCATGAATGTAAGTAAACTGAGGTTGTTTTATCGACCGTAGCAAAACTAACACAAGCGCGTTATTAACTAATCGTTTTTTTTCTTATGGTGGAAAAAGACTTCCTTTCCTTTTCACTTTCTTTGTTATTGCAGTACCGTACGACGCGAAAATCACCAGAAAACCCGAAAAAAAAGCAAAAAACCATCACAAAAGCATTTAAAAAAAGCAGTACAAAAATTACAAAAGCACCCAAAAAAACATCAAAACATCAAAACACTAAAAAAAAACCTTCATATGAATACTGGTAAGGTTATCTTTCACTTGGATTTTACGGGGTTCATTGCGTGATAACGTGTATCGTGGATACTGACTTGTTCCCTAATTTTGATAGGTCTTCCTGCTTATACCGCCAGTTGTCCTCCGCCATCCCAAGCACCGATTTTGCCAACCGCTTTATTTATTTATTTATTTATTGACAAAGCGCCTTCGGGCGCTTCTTACTGGATTCAATGTCCAGAAAAAGGTATGTGACATACGATACACGATGCAGTTAGTTGGTATATTGATCAGCGACTAAATAGCTAACGCTTGCATGAATTCTATTTAGACGAGAACCGTCTTCAATGTGGCAAAGGCAATTTTGATATCTTGAAGTTTTGAGGAGGTAAAGTATGTATTCTTTTGAACTACGATGTACTGAATCATCTTTTCATTACAGATTCCTAACCTTTTATGACCCTTTAAACTCTATAGGAGCAGTGGTGGCCGACCTGTGTGCGGCGCAGCGCCGGCGCCCCAACAGATGATACTTCAAGACATATGGCAAAGTGTTGCGATGGTATAACATCGGACACTGACGTCCATGCTGCATGCATTCCAGCGTGTGTCATGTACTGTGTGGTAAGTGCATGAGAGTGGAGAAATTGGCGGTGCCATTTGTGCTGTGTCGTACAGGAAAAGGTGAGGAGTGCGAGGAGAACAATGCGACTTGGATCTGCGGGGGGGACAGTGGAAGGGTATATGGGATCTGGTGTGGGCGATCTGGGCTTCGAGGATGCAACATCATCTGTCTTGTAGGTAGTCCAGAATCAGAATTACAGCAGAGATATGCAAGGCAGTTCTTTGACGACAATGATGGTATGTACAGGCTTTTTTATTCAGTGACGTATAAAGAGGAAACGCGTGGGTCTGTGCTGTTATCAGTATTACATTCAGAAATCACTAACGATAGATGCTCTTGATGCATCCCTTATAACGACTGTTTTTTCCTAGCTGCAACTTGGAAAAAGAGATCGTTATAAGGGATGGGGTTTCTGGCTAGAATGTTCAAGCCATTCTAGTCATGCGTAGATGTATCCGGTTCTCGAGGTTGTCGTCTCTGTTGGAGCTTCTGTTTCCCGACGATCTTCATTGCAATGCTGTTGCATTTCAAGTCCATTCACCACGCCAGATTCTGCCTTCCACGGAGGGAGGGAGGATCCAAGTCGCATTGTTCTCCTCGCACTCCTCACGTTTTCCTGTACGACACAGCACAAATGACACCGCCCATTTCTCCACTCTCATGCACTTACCACACAGGACATGCGCTGGAATGCATGCAGCATGGACGTCAGTGCCGATGTTATACCATCGCAACACTTTGCCATGTGCCTTGGAGTATCATCTGCTGGGGCGCCGATGATGGCCTTGCAGGCCATGGGTGGGCGTATGGGGGCCCACAGGCCGGTGTAGCATGCATATGCTATTCTGGTGAAGGCAGCGAGTTTATATCGTCTGGGTCGGTGATCTCGTGGTGCCACTCACCGAAAACACAACCACGGATCCCATCGTTGGCTTGGGTTGAACACTTGGATCAATTGGAGCAAGAGGAACACACTAAAAAACCAACGAGCAAAGTATAAAACTAATGTATACCATACAACTGGGATAATTAAAGGAGCAGCAACCATGAACTAAGAAGATCTCTTTGACATCAATCACATAAGCATCGCATTAGCACATACCTTCAACATACATCATCAATGGTAAGTTATTCTCTGAATTATCTGAACGACATTAAAGTTTTTGTTGACCGATTATCTAACGCTATGTTTGTTTCGATCTTGTAGGGGAAGCAACAGACAAAATGAAAAAAAAGGATGGAGCTGCCGACGCATATACAGTGCGGCTTTACGATCCAAAATCAATAAACAGATGTAATCACCGACACATATACAGTGTGATTTACGATTCTGGATGCTATTTTCCCAAATCGCAAAAGCAAGATGCAGTACATACAAAAGGTACGTGAGGATTGCGAATACAAGAGGTTAAGACGAACATGTAAATGCAAAAACTGACAGGCGATCTTTCTTTATCTAGGCGTTTAAAGCTATTTACATCAAGTTCAAGAGATTCATTGGTCATGTTTGCCGCTCCTTGGTTTATTTCAAAACAATAAATCTGCATATGTTTTGCTCTCTTTACTATTATTACGCATTATAAATGAGCTTTTTAGAATGTGAAGTGTCAATATATTAAGTTGAATGGTATCTGTGTATGCGACAAGTCTTTTATGCAAGGGTAGAAGCAGTAGCGACATTAAAATACAACGTATATAAGCGACAACAGCACCGTCAAAGGACCATGCAGACTCTTCATATAATAGTATGTATACTGCTACAAAGAACCCAGTATCATTCACATATGAAGTCCTACTGAAAGTTGAACATGCTTCTTTCGCTTCTCCTCCACGTAATCTCGCGATTCAATACCGCGCATTTGACACATATATAAAGATATGTTTCAAAACAAGTGCACAAAGATAATACAGTCAACCCCGGTTAACGTCAACCCCGATAGCGTCAACCAATTCGTTGGTACCCTTTCAAATTAAGTAGTTAAAGATTTTACCTATTCTCTACCCCCGGTGGTCGTCAACCCTCGATATGGTCAGCACTTTTGCTGGTACCCTGAGTGTTGACGTTAACGGGGGTCGACTGTAGGTCATAGTTTATGGCTGTACGGGACAATAACGGTATATATTTACTTGAGGGATACGCAGATGGTTGTTCCAGATAGGCTGAATACATAGGCGGTGGTAGCTGTACACACATCAGTTAATACAAACCTCACACGAATGCAAATGGTCTAAGCGGGCGCTATTGGTCCTTGGAGTAATCGTCCGTAGGTGTTGGCAAGAGTACTGTACATGGATAAATGGTCATGATCCTCGCTATCAGAGTTCCAGCTTTTACATTTGGCAAGCGCAGCCAATGAATATTTTATACTTCTCCTGTCTGTATCCATTTCCTATCGGTGCCTACAAGTAATATACACATCACCAAAACTACAGCGTATCTCAACACATCGCACTACATAGAAACCGACAAATTTTTACAGTGTCATTGAAATTTTTGTGCTCAAGCCCGTTCACGAGTTTCTATCCGTGAATCACGCATCCACAAAGATGCCTCTTTAACATCATACATCAAATTCATGATTACTCATAAGCTTGCTGTACTGTTGTAGTCAAAGCAATTGAACTTTTCCATCCACTGACTTGTATATATAGACGACAACGCGTTATTCATTCGAGAGACTTGATTTTCTTTTGTGTATAATATGGATAGAGTTTGCTGCTTTCTTTTCAACTTTACCTTACTTCATAATTGCTACTACAAATCCTGCCCCTCACCGTGTCTACCGCAGTCGTGACGGGAAGTATGTACATTGCATAAATAACAGTATCTTTTAGGAAGGCCCGACTGAAGGAGCCCTAGTGCCGTGCTCACTGACGATGGCTATTGCTACAGTATAATCCTACAGAAGCTAAGTATGAAACTCCAAACGTTTGTCTGGATATGTACTTGATGATGTGTGTAAGACTGATATGTCCTGGGAGAAAGAGGGGCCTACAATGCAGTAATGACGGTGTTGCCTGCTTACTTTGAGGTTGTACTGTAGTGGTATCTATGTATGGTCCTTTCTGTTCGGATAGCCACTGTTTTTGTTGTTCGCCATGGCGCCACGTAAACTTTCAAAGTGTGTGTGGCCAAACGGGTATTTCATGTATTAATGTGAGCTCTGTGACTCCAAAAAGAATCTATTCAAGGAGACATAAAAGCAGTTGGCTGTAACCAAACGCACTTTATTCCTTCTTCTCTTGCTACCACTTCAAACACAACTCTTCCACTCTACCTTCCTTCTCACTGTACTCATGGAATCTGCCTCTAAAGTAAAGGAAAGCAAGAACACCACAGAGTAAAAGACTAGCGGGACAAAGGTGGCATCTTGAACCACGAAGCACCCACACCACCAGAACAATAGCCGCAAGGGCAACAACAACTTCAACAAGAAAATAGTAGTGGTATTAAAATCTGCCATACTTTAGACGCATGTGTAGAAGGACGACGTGCTCGACAATATTTGAGAGAGGCTCGCTAAACGTAATTTGGATGCCGAGATGGCCGATTTGTACGCGTTGTCCTCGGCTTGATAGCCTCAAACCTAAATTCTATAAAACAAGAGACGGTGTTTCGAGCTGTGAAGATAATAAACTGCTTAGATAGAAGTGTTCTGTACAGCAATTTAAGATGAACAAGATGCCAAAGAGAGCACCAACACAACCTTACAGATAGTTGCATAAAGCAAGCAATGTCATCCAGACGAGCTGTGATCTAACGTCAGGTTGAATGCCATTGCTTTGGGCGTTGCTCGGCGTGCCCAGTGTGCTCGTGTAACATGGAAGGACCTGCGTTCGCAGTTGACACTGTCAACTCTCTTTTTTTGGGGGATCAGGGTGTCCCTGCACAGGCTGTTTGTACCCTGCCACCCCAATGATAATAGGTACGAACAGGGGAAGCAATAACAGCTCATATCCTAGATACAAATAAGCACGGAGAGGTACTACTGTACGCTTCTTAAATGGATGCCAACGTCATTGTCTATCGAGCAGATTTTAGACTTTTGCTGCTTGCTAGTCAGTACGCTCTTTACTCATGGTCTTTTTCGATGCAAACAATGCAGTGGCATGTATCCCTCATA